CGGCAGGAAAAGCACGGAATTTGTGTCAAAATTGGAATTACTCAACAGGTGTGTGTGTGTGTGTGTGTGTGTGTGTGTGTGTGTGTGTGTGTGTGTGTGTGTGTGTGTGTGTATGTGTGTGTGTGTGTGTGGAAAGCCACAGCTGATTTCAATGTGAAGAGGAAAAAAGAACAAAACTTTTGAAACAGGTTGAGTCATTGACTGAACCCTGAATGAGGCTTTTATCTGAAATAATGGTGACACAGTGACTCAGAGAGAATACTGAAGCGTCTCATTTTCGCTCTAAAAATGAACTTCCACAAAGTTGACGTCCCGCTGTGCACTGAAACCAAAGAGAGCTTCTAACAAATAGCAGCTCTTACATAAATAAAAAGTCGCTTTAGAGAAAATCTAAATCAATCCTGATTAAAAGAAAACCAAAAACTTCTAATTCAGATTTTATGCATCAGTGCTATTGTTGCAAAACCAGCCCAAACCATCAAACCATCACCCCACCACCACCATGCCACCATGCCTGAGTCCAAGGTCGTTGCTGATGTTTTTCCTTCCAGGAATTGTCTTGATTTATTCCAGTTTGAAACCAGACCCATTGGTTTCGAACCAATGGATCTCATCTTTTCCTATCTGGTAACCACACTGATAATGACCCGATTTTGTCGACACATTTAATCAGCAGCTCCCAAATTCCCTTTAAAGTCTGATTGAAATAAATGGTGTAATTTGTTTTTCCAGACAAAGTTTTCTGTTGATTTAGCTTCGTAATATTTAAAAAATGTGGAATCTGCTTCTCCAGAACTAAAACAGGGTGGGTTTTTTTCACATTCAATAAATCCTCCTTGAAGGTTTTTTTTTTTTTTTTTTTTTGAAAGTGTAAGTACAGCAGGAAGTTTACATTGTAGACCACAGCATGAAACGGCATGGAAAGAAGACTGCTTATTAAATATGAAAATAGGATCAAGAGATTATTTTTGTTTTGGTGCCTGAATGAAGTTCCCCTACATCATAGTTTAATTTGTGCAAAGGTTGAGAGAATTGACTTTCATTGCCTCCAAAACTATATTTATTGTTGTACGTTATGGGATGATTATTCGTCTGAGGTCTTGCAAACACATGAGAGGCTGCCTGTAAAAGCAGCAGCCATTCATTCACCAGCAAAACAGCAGCTCAGAGGAACAAAAACAACAACAAAAAAGGACAACTTCTGTCGGCTGCGCTCCTTTCATCTCCACAGATAAGGACGGAGGTTTGCAACAGAAGCGTTCAGACGACAGCCAATCCCTGCAAACCGTTCAAATCCAATTTACGCCCAGAGCTTTTTGTCCTTCAATTCAGCAGGTTGCCAGGAGCAAAAAGCTCGTTCTGCCGTTCAATCAAAGCATCTGCACCGACTCCACCTACAACCCACACCGTCACGTGAGATCGTTTTTCTGCTGCGTGAAGGTCAAAGGTCAACGCGGACACCTCGTTCTGCCAGATCTGCATTCCCTCCACTCCGAGTTTCTCCTCAACCCACACTCCAGTCTAGAACGATGAGGCTCTGATCACCTTTGAAACGTACAAACTTCTGCTTCTCCTGATTCTAGGCGACATAATCAGAGAGCTGCTGTGCGAGCGGCCAGGAGTCCACAGAGCGATGAGAAACGGACAACCTGAGGTCTGGGAAAGCAGCCAGCACTGCCAGTAAAAATCATCCTACAGATACAAGCCAAGCCCTTCAGAGGGTTGTGATGTCATCGTCATGCTCCCCACGGAGCGTTTAGAACAGCCCAGAAAGTCCAGAATATTCCCCGGTTCAGATTACCTTTCGCTTGGGTCGTTACTGAAATCTAATGCCCATTTCTGGACTCCGCTTGCATTCTGTTTATTCCCTCGGCTCCTCATTTGAAGGGTCAACAAGCATGCAACAGATTACAGCAACACATAAATAAATATTTTATTTCTTTGGCTTTGTTTTTAAAAGTTCCCACTTTCTGATCAGACAGAGCAAAGATGGGACTCTCAGACCAATTTCTGTGTTTACGTTGTTTTATAACAGCTGCATTTCCGTTGACCATAAAATTACACAAAGTTCAAAATGAAAATAAATTTGCTTAACGGAAACAATTTCCCAAAAATGTTTACATAAAATGTTTTTGTGCCTGTATCAAAATTAATGCCTTTTGCTAAAATTTAATGGAAACACTTTTTTGTGGTTGCTCAACATGAGTCATGATCAACAGCCAGATATTACAATTAGTAGAAAAGACAAAGAAGGCAACAATAAGTGGCAGGAGTTTGATGGTACTGCATCTTTTCATTTGACTTATTGCAAGAATAAACTTGTGTTTCCTCGATTTTAGTGGAATATTAAAGTTTTGCACATGTTTGTAACGGAAACGCAGCTGCAGAGGAATGTGGAAGAAGATGCTCTGGCCAGAAATGGTAAGAACTGAACCTAGAAGCTGGTCAGAGATACTGCAGAATAGTTTAGATTGAATCATAGTCATGTGTCAGAATGGTCTAGTCAAAGTCCAGATTTAAATCCAATCAAGAACATGTGCCAGAACTTAAAAACTGATCTACACAGATGCTCTCTGTCCAATCTGACTGAGTTTGAGACATTTTGCCAACAAAACCCCCCCAAAAAACATAGTTCTATTAGCAAAAGGAAACGTATCATTTTCTTTTCCTTTTGTGCTCTGCTTTCTGTAGAGAGGCCAGGGAGGTTTTGGCTTGTAACGGGACATGATGTGGAAAAGTTCAAGAGACGTAGATACTTTTACAAGGCACTGGATGTCTTGAGTTTTATGTGGGTTGTTTTCTGAGCTGTCAGAAAACAACGTGATGGCCGCACTGCAACCACTAATCCTGCTTTACTGAATCAACATCAAGCCAATGTTTCTCCACCAATCAAAAATCCCGAGGGGGACTAGAACAGTAAAAGTAAGACATTTTCCTCGACGTTTCCAAAACTCCAGAATCTTTGACATCATCCAAATTAACCAAACTTAAGCGTCTCATATTCGCCACGGAAAAAAAAACGGCGCTTTCTGCTCCTCCACCCGCTCCCTGACAACAGCCGAGAAGAACAAGACAAGAACAAGTGGCAGCATGTTACAGGAGCGCCTGTCGGATGCAGACTGACAGCAGCACAAACACGGAGCTGACATGGTGGAAGATCTTTCTGTCTGGAGTTAGGAGACGACTTGACTCACCAAACAGAAGCAGAAAAGGATCAAATCAGCGTGAAACTGACTCATTTTGGTTCAGCTGAGGCTGCTTATTGTGCAAGGAGCTCATGGCAACGTATCAGAACCACGAGCTCTACTTTTTAAAGATTTGATTATGAATCTAACTGGAATCAGATTTCTGTTCAATTAAAGCTGCCTACCAGACTTCCTGTGAGTCAACAAACTCACTGTTGATGTGGTCGCTCGCTTTCGGCGCTACATGCTCAGCTTTCTGCTATTTTACTGCAAACTGCTATTTAATCAAGATAAAACAGACACTCTCTCAAAAACCAGTGTCTTTCTCAAAAACCGTGCCTCTGATGACATCACATAAGGCAACTGATCAGAGATCGTTTGCCTTGTTGTCTCTGATCATAGCGATCAACAGTTGGATCAAAACTCTTGAGTTGTACATGAGATTTTTGGAAATTTGGCTAAGTTATGCCTCTTCATGCTTTAGTTTGTGAAGAGGAGCTGAAGGACCGGACTGACTTCACTGTCAACGGTTTAATAAAGACCAACCCCAGTCAAGTTGTTATCAAAACCACCATATTCAGTTCATTAGTTTCCCAAAAATCCCAGTTTTTCTGCTGAATATTTTATTTCTTCGGCTTTGATTGCAAGGTGGAAAAAGTCTCAAAAATATTCATCTTCTTGGCAGATTTACAGTTAAACTAATCTTTTAACCCATCCAATACTGATTTTTTTTTTCCTCTTAATGGAAGCAATATTTACATTTTGGAGTGGCTCAACTGGTGTCCCGACATAAATATGAATCGGCGGAGGGAGCTAAACATTAGGGTGATGGCAAGGAGGCGTTTCAACCTCAACACCAAAGATTAATGGTGCAAAGTGACATATGCAAACACGCAATGCTGGATCTTTTTACGTCATCACGTCAACCGTGATGCTACCGCAGCTATGTGGAAACCTGTCAAAAATGAACCTGTCCAGCATAATGTTTAGTGATGTCATCAACCCAGACACACACCCTTTTCAAAATTCATCTTTTTTTGTGTGTGTTCTTGAGGAGGTAATCTATACTTCAACATCCCGCTGTGTTTTTACGGTCAGTACATGGTCATTTGTTAGCAGACCTCTGGATTGGATCTTTAAATTTACTGTTTCTCAGGAGACAGAATAAGGAGGGGAAGGTTTTCTTTTCCTGTCAGCTGCTGCTGCTGCTGCATCTGATGAGACTTTAAAAAGCTGCGGTGGAGTGGAAGATTTCTGCTACCAGGCCCGTTTTAGAAAAGCACTGAGATTATGAAAGTGGTAGCCTACTGTTAAAAGAGAAGAGGGCATCTTTTCACATGATGAGGCGGGAGGGAACAAAACAGCGAGGAGGAAGTGAAAGTGGAAATCTGCTTATCCAGGACCCTTTTAGTCACCAGAAAGCCCACCTTTGAGTTTCCATCCACATCATAAGGTCATCATTTTTCTGCTTATTCCAACAGATTCTGCCTTCCCTCCGTCCCTCAGCTCTAATTGGGAGTCCTCCTTCACCTTCCTCCGCCTCCTCGTTCACCTTTGACCTCCATCTGCACCTGAGCTGCTCTGATCTCTGAACCAGAGGGTCTTTAACTCACATCCGATCAAACACGGTCAGGAGGAGAACATGCAGCAGCACCAGCAAAGCGCAAGCATTACATCACTCCTGCCATCTCAAAACACAATCATAAAAAATTAAAAAAATAAAATAGGTGGAGGGCATTTTTCTTCTTCTTCTTTTCTGAGAAACAACCTGCTCTGATTATATCAATAGGAACACGGTGGCATCAGTGGACTCACCTGGGTTGAAATGCGAGCTGAGGGCGCAGCCGGGGACGAACAGCGCCGAGCACAAGGCGGCCAGGAGCGCCAGCAGCATCTTCCCAGCTGGAGCTGCAGAACCAGCAAGAAACACCGCGGGACTCAGAGGACAGGAAAACCGGAGATCAGAGCTTCATTTCTGCCGTGGCCCGGCTGTGACTCCGCAACACGTCGCCTCATCTCTCCCACCCCCCCAAAAAAGATATGTCTATTTAAACCAGCTGATCTGAATCTCCTCCATCCTCCCCTCCTTTCCGTTCTTCTCCCGAGTAACTTGGTTCGGATGAAGGCGAGGAGTTCAGCCTGACAGCAGCTCCTCTCCCCACAGCTCCACCTGGAAGTTGTCCCACCGACCCACGGCTCCGACCCGCGGGGGGTGTTGGTCACGTGGACGCCGCGGCGATTGATAGAAATCAATTAGAAGTTAAAAGAGGAGCGCGGTTTGCGTTCGAGCCGCCGGTGCTGTCCGAGGTGCTGACAGCAAGAGCGCCATCTTGCTCCGTAATGCGCCCCGAATGAGATTTCTGGAGCGGTTTTTTTTTTTTTTTTTCGTGTCTGTAGGGAGGAGGGGAGGGAGGCGTTGGAGGCTGTGCGGCCCGAGCATCCTCTGCTGACTGAAATATTCAGCACAGAGAGGAGAAAATGTGGAGGAAGGGACTATTTTTAATGCTGCACAGAGATGTTTGCAACCTGCAGGCTGAAGAAGAAGCAGCTGCTGCATCTTCAGCAGGAAGTCTGAACCTCATCTTCTTTTTACTGCAGCTAGGAGTCTGTCTGCTGATGTTGGATATGTGGAAGAATAAAAAAAAATGATCATGAAGATAATTCCTCATGAGCAAACTGTAGGTATCACCAAAGGGCCAAACGTGATTATAATCCTGCTGTTTGTTCATACGTGCTGGATGGAGCCCCCTCCCCCACCTGGCAACATTCCTCCACAGCCTCTTGTTCCCTTCAGTCTGGGTTCTTGGCAATGAATCCACTCAACTTTTCTTTGTGCATCTTACAGGCTTATCATGGCGTCTGATTGTTCTGCAACAGAGATGTCACACGCTGAACCACTAATCCAGCGTTAGTCAGATCCTCCGGTGTTTCTCTCTTCCTCTCTCCCTCTGCACCGCTTCTTGTTTCTTGGTGCTGTGTAATGCAACATATATTATTAAAAGACATGATCTTTCTCAGCGCTGCCAACAATACAAACAGAGCGACATCTGAAAGAAACAAACACAAAGCCTTGTGGGGGACCCGATATCTGACCGCAGCAGAAACGCGTCTCTCTTTAAAAGTCTTTAAGATGATCTCTGCTGAACAGCTCAGCTTTCAAAACTCAATATTTTGTGAAGCGGAGTTCAGTCACAGAATAACACATTCTGCCTGTTGTGAAACATGGTGGTGGCAGGATCATGCTGCGGGGAGATTTTTCTTCAGCAGCGACAAGGAAGCTGGTAACCGTAGGAGAATACAGCACACTTTACTCATTTTTCTATGTAAAGAATTGAAACAAACATCTACGATTATCCTTCCACTTATGAACTACTTTGTGTAACATAAAATTCAAATAGTCTATATTAAGTTTATAGCCAAAATATAAAATGTTCAGCTACAAAAAATCTCTAATAAAATACAACGTGGTAACTGTTTTGTTTGCCATCTTAAAAATGGACGCCAGAATAAAAAACAAAACTTCCTGGCAGACGACGTCGTTTTGCACAAATGCTGCACCGTATCGTCACAAACCCCATTTTCCTCTAAAATCAGATCAAACTGTTTGTCATTACTGTGACTTCAACTTGGACATCTATTTTTTAGGCAGTGTGCAGAGATGAACACATGACAGTAAAACATGTCCAGAATAACAAACTTTCAGCTTTTAGTCTTACAGTGTCAGGGTTTTCCCCAGTGTATTCTAAGCCTGGCGGGCCACCAGGCTTTACTTGCATCCCCACCAGGCTAAGCAATGTTTATTTATGCATTTATTTTAGATTCTTTTTTTTTCATGTTTGCCTTTTTTGACACCCTGTAGTTGGTGTTTAGGTGTTAAGAATGTCTTCCAGTAATACACAATCACCCAAAGAATATTAAAAAAAAAAAAATTGTCACCTTTAAATATTTTTAAATTGGCTAAATCTGAAATTCCCTTTGAGCATGAATGACATCACATTTTCTATCCCTTCACATCTTCTCTAATCACAGTAAATGAGATGGAGGAAAAACATGAAAACCATTTTTCAGATGTTTCTACTTTCAATTAGATTTAAAGCTGCAGTCTTTAATTCAGACTGAATGTTCCAGCGCCAACAGAGGAGCCTTCTTCCTGCAGAGACAGAGAATCCCGAGGGACCTCTGCTGATGGTTCCCATCTTTGTTTTTACAGATTGGACAGGGCTGTCGGACTTAAAAATTTCCTACTGCTCTTCTTCCTCCTCGTTGTCTTTAAAACTCTCATTCCTCTCTCTGAAACAGTGAGTCGCACGTCTGCCGTTTCCGTGGAAACAAAACGAAGAGGATGAGATTGGTTCTCGGCAGAGCAGAAAGAGCTTCCCTTTCAGCTCCCATCTTACGTCAAATCTGACAGGCGTTATGCAAGCCTGTACCTTTACTTCCATTTACATCAGAACTACGCTTTGTGCACATACAGATGCTTCTGTTTTCTCTGCATTTTCGTCGTGAGAAAAATCAGAAAACTGGAGAAAACCCAGGCCAGCTCAAACCTCAAATCTGTATGTCTCCTGGGAGAGATTAGGATCCAGAGCGTTGAGTACCCTCTGTTATTAGTCCAGCTTGTTCTGCAAACCAACGCGGAATCCAGCTTTCACTCTGACTCACAGCATCAGTCCCGAAACCAATGTGTTCGACGGTTCTTCCACTTGGTGCTGATTATAAAATCGCTGTAATTCAGACTGCGGCTCACATGCAGCGGTCCCAAACTGTGGCGCTTGCAGGTCACAGCTTCACTCCGTGAACCGCATTCCCATAAAAACACAGAGGAGATTATGAGGCCTCAGCCTTGCATGTAATCTGTGACATTTAGAACAGAGTCCGACTTTTGTTTTCTGCCTGTAAGCCAACGCTGGCCTCATAAAACAATAATCGGGAGGAGATGAACACCGTGTGCTCGTTCTTCGAAAACTTTTAACAGTTTGGTAGAAGTCAAGGAATCACCTTACTTGCTGTGTTGATCTCAGCAAAACCGAAGCAAGTGGAAAGAACCAGAAGGAAGAGAAAGTGTCTCTTCTCAAGCAAATCGGATACAAATGTAAGCAAACCTTATAGAAAAGGATGTGCAGAAATGCATCATTCTTCAGCTACTGCATGCAGTAGGAATAATAAAAAAAAAAAAAAACCAGAGAAATCAAAGCATCTGCAATTCACTTTATTTTCCTAAGGTGTTAATGATTCATCTTTGTCTACATACTACAGTTTTATCTTTTGTGTTCTTCTGGAATTAAAGAGGATGAATTATTAGCATACTAGCATCAATAACAATACCACAAATTATTGTAATTTATGTCACGACAGATTAATTCATGACTGCAGCTCTCACATCAGCACAGGAGCAACAAAACCTAAGAGATCAATTAGGGAGTGTAAATATTTATCTGTGTCCATCTGTACAAGAATTACCTGCAGGAATGAATGAAATCCACAGGGAGGAGTGAAGTGAATAAATCCCAGACGAACAGCAGGGATCTCTGCAGAGACACTGGAGTTGAGGATCAGACCAACTGCTGGAAAAAAAATTTGAATAAATATTTGTTCATTCCCCCCCCCCCCCCCCTCCCCCTCCCACCCTCCCCCTCCCTATGGATCTTGTTTCTCCAACAAAGCTGAAAAGTTTGTAAGAGTCAGAATCAACATGGTTTTGGATGCATACAAGGTAACAAACACAAGTCAGTCACTTCACCGGATCTGTTTTTAATATTTTAGGTTCACCTGCCATTCATCATCTGCAATCCTTTATTCATTCTTCTTCCACTTCTCGCTTTTAAAGCAACAGCTTGGTGTGCATTACTGCCCCCTACTGGAATGGAGTGTGAATCGGGATGCTAAATATATTTTACACAGATTTATGAACTAAATTAAATAAAACTATACAAAACAAACCAACAAAAAAAACTTGTTTTTTTTTCATCAAATGGTGAAATAAGAGTAAAGTGGTGTCTGAAATTCTTCTTTTATGAGTAATAAATAACTAAGGATGCACTACTGCCCCTAGCCAGACTTTGTAGGTACTACATAATCTCTCGCTGCTGGTTTTCTAAGAGATTTCTCAATTTATTTATAAAGCACCAAAAAGCAAGTAATTTAATCAATCCAGTTCTTACCAGTACAGCTTAGGCATATAGTTACATTCAGATAGATTGAAGTTCTGAGCCACGGTGTCCATTTTGTGAATCTCTCCCAAACTCTTCGATGGTATTTGCCCTCATAATAGCCTGGTGAACCCTGTTACTGGTGCACCTTTTTCTACCACATTTTATTTTCTTCCACTCAACAGTTTTATGATTTGGCTGGATACACAAATTCAGTGAACTGCCAGATTCTTCAGTAATGACCTTTTGTGGATTGGCCTTCCAGTGGATGGAGTCCTTGAAAGTGAAAACCAAGTCACAGTGTTTCAGTTGTTCAATACGGAGACTTGGAGACGACGGTCGCATTTCTGAACAGTGTTTCTGGGCCCAGACAGGAGGGGAATAAATTTTCACTTTGACTTAAAAATAAATAAATAAATAAAACAATCAGAAAAAGTGAGGAAAACCACACATTTTAATTTATAGACTGAACCTTAACCGTAGAAATGGGAACAAATGATCACAAGTGCAAATTAAATATCTCCATTGTTGCATCGGAAAACAGCTTTGCTTGTTCTTATATGTCTAGAAATAACACTTCTCCCGACCTGCAATGTGCCCATTCACAGCACTAATGTGTGTGTCTGTTAAAATGTGACGCTTCGTCTGAATGAGGCTTTATGGAGTCAATTTCAATTAGGCCTCAACACTCGCCAGACGAATCTTTCATCATCCGATTCGAGGATCTTAACAGGATTAATTATTCCTTCTCTCATGCCAGAGGTTTTACTCGAAGCGCTGTGGGAGTGACGCGAACGGAGAAAAGGCGTCTCTTCCCAGTAGAGAAAGGAAGTGTTCATTCTTTGCTGTCGCAGCAAGTAAAATATGTTCAGCAGTTTGTCGGGACGTTCTGATAGTAAAGGTTTGAAGTGGCTCCCTCCCTCTTCTAAAGCAATTCTCTGGTTTTCATGCGTGACGAGTGACAACCAAGAACTCCCTGCATCCTCTCATCATGTCAGTCTTTGCCTCCTGACGCTTCTTAAACTGAAATACATTTTTCAAATCACCTGCACACAACTGAATATTACAATTAACTCCACAAACACAAGGTCAAAAAGACATTTAAGAAAATGCAACCACTAATTACTGATTAATTTGCTTGTGAACTACAGTACAGAAACATTCACAGGGATTTAAACAGATCACAAGAT